AGAGAACTCTTGACAACAGTTGATTGTAAGACTCTAATGTTCCATTATGAAAACAAGCAGTTCCACAAGTACAATGATTGTCGTCTTTAGTTTATAGAATACCATAAGAATAATTATTTGTAAACTACAAAAGGAATAAAGTTAAACATATTTGTGGTGTAATATAAGTAGGATATGAAGAAGAATTAGGCGGTGAGGAGATTTGACCCAAAAGTGACTTTGTAGGCTCGGTATATGTGTAGTTTAAATGGAAAAGAAATCCTGCCTTAGGTGATTTACAACTATATCCTTAAATTATATAAATGTTAAAGGTCATAAAAAGTCGATCAATGTTTCGGGGATATTTTTGTCGTTCAACATTTAGTATAAATTATTCATGCTTTTATAATAATATAGATAGATAGATAGATAGATATAGATAGATAGATAGATATAGATAGATAGATAGATAGATAGATAGATAGATATAGATATAGATTGATAGATAGATAGATAGATAGATAGATATAGATAGATAGATAGATATAGATATAGATAGATAGATAGATATAGATATAGATATAGATATACAGATTTGATATTGTCGTTAGCAGCGCCATATAAACCATTTTTAAAAGTTTTAAAAAAAAAATCACTTGGAAGAATAAAAGAAAAACCCAAGCTACTAAACAGTCGGTCATCCCAACATCGTCCTCAAGATCATATGCATGCAATGCAAGACTATGCATGGCAACCCATTCTTCCCCTACTTGCACTTCAAATTTTGCCATTTTCCACCAATTGCTATTCTTCTTTGACTCACGACAGGATACACAATGTACGAATAAATATGAGGAACAAATAAAGGAAGGAGCCAAAATTAAAGTACCTCATCTCCATCAACAATGATGTCTATCTTCCTTGGAGGAACAATAATAAATTCAACAAACTTTCCAGCTTTGACTTTGGCCGGGGCTGGATTTATAGGGTTAATCATGGGGCACGTGAACCCATGGTCTTTTCGTAAAATTAGATATTTTATGTACATATTTTTTGAAATTGATATAATATTAACTGTTGGCACTCATGTTGCAAGAAGATTGAATGATGCACTTGGTTGATTGTTCCCACTAGATACATTTTTTCATCCTTTTTTTAGTAGTGCACCCATGTACTAGAAATTCTAGATCTACCTCTGGCTTTTACTATATATGCCACCCGCAAAATAACATACTATATATAGCAACCACAAATTAAACATAAGAAAGTATTTTCGTAGCTCAAACACCAAGGCTCAAACATAGTGGTACATCATGAAGGAAGAAGTGAAGCTTTACTGCATGCAGTACAAATACATTGAATGTTACAGTACTGGTGATTTTGTCTACAATACAGTAGAATTAATACAATTCATCAATTCAGGGTAATTCTTATTTTTATGTAAATACTGGCTTATACTAAAATGGATCTGTCTTGTATACATACATTCAACTTATTTAAAATAACTAAGCGACCTAGCATGGATATATAGTTAATATATTTAAAATTGAAAATGTATAGCAACTTGATATGGAACATTAATTTGCAACGAGAGATTATTTGGTCATTAATTTGGTGCTATAGGTAACAAAAGTATATTTGTGTAAACTATTTCTTATTAACCTTATGGTGTTAAATAATAATTAGTATTTAGTAATGATGTAAATAGAAAACTACTACACATTTTATGATTTACGTTGCACAAGTCATGGAGAGGGAGATTTTGAGGAGTTGCCAGTTAGCTGATTTCAATGAGCACTCTTTTTTACAAAATCACCAAAATCATTAATATTCATCAGATAAGCATATGCAAACCAACTAACAGCTTGTTTGGATGGTTGTTCCTCGTTGTATTGTATTGTATTGTTATCCCAAAACAATGTTTGTTTTGATTGTTTCATTAAAATTGGTTGTATTGTATTGTTAAATCCATTGTTCCGGAACAATGAAAAGTCTCCTTTTTTGAAACAACCGATTTGGTGTGGTGGAATTGTTTCCTATTTTTCTTTCCAATTATGTCCTAACTTATTACTCCATAATTCTATTTTACCCTTTATCTTTTTTATATTTTAGCTCCAAATCTTCAACTTATAACCTACTTTGTTTTTTTCGAGACCAATGTTAAAGGTGTTTTGTTGCCTCCTGTTTTATTTTTTTCTCCTAATTTGCTTGTAAATCAATTCTAATTAGTTGTGTTCCTTTGTTTTGTCTTTTTCTGTCTCGCTCCTTTGTTCTGCTTCCTTATTGTGTTTTGCCTTCTTCTGTTTTGTCTTTTAAAATTATTTTTATACATAATTTTGATAAATTTAATATTTAAACAATTAAGGGTATTTTACTAAACTTATCAGTTACAGTACAGTACGATACAGTCAAACCAAACAACAAAATATTATTTAACAATAACAAACAATACAATCTATCCAAACATTGTATTCATAAAACAATACGGTACAATACGATACAATACAATACAATACAATACATTATAAAACGATAGGGAACAATGATCCAAACAGAGTGTAAAAAATCCAACAAATTCAGGATCTCGTGTCAAATTAAATATACAGTACTATCTAGGACCCTAACAATATTCATTTAAATGCAAAAGACACCATACCCTGATCATTCTCATTGATAACTACTCCCTTGTTTGGGCAAGCTTTTAGGAAGCCAAAAATACTTTTTTTTTAAAGAAATATATTTTGTATTAAAGCATTTGCTTTAAGTTACCAAAAGTTTGAGGTCTCAAAATTTTGTAATATTAGAATTTCATAATTTTAATTTTACTTAGATAATATTGAAGTTTGTATGAAAAAGAAAAAGAAAAAATAAAAAATAAAATAAAGTAAGGTTGTCACTTTCTCGCAGTAGAAAAATATTGTAGAAGTTTTGAGTTAAATTAATCAAATCTTTATATTAGTAGATAGCTCTTTTTACAAAATGAACTAAGGTAATATATTGTACGCACAAGGCTAATATCTTATTAATTTGAATTAACCCTTGCCAATTAATATATTGTACACACATGGTTCGTAGGGATGGCAAATGGGACGGTGCGGGTTTAAAGCTATGCGGGGCGGGGCGGTTGAAATAATTTTTTAAAAGACTGATGTGGTGCGGGGTGGTTGCGGGTCTACGCGGGTTTTCGCGGGTTTGCACAAGTTTACTGGATTTGGCCTATTGTATTATCCAGTAAAACTTGACTTCTGTGACAAACCTTAAATAGTAGAACATCTATTAAATGTTTGATACTTCATACAAACAAAGTAAATCATTTGTAACTTTTTTTTTCAAGTACACCTTTTAATTATAATGTTAATTAAGTTAGAAATTTTGAATAAATGAAAAAAGTTAGACATTTAAGGGAATATAAAATGTAGTTTAGACAAAAAAATTATGATTAAATTATTAACATTTATCACTTAATCATCTAATGAAGATTCGTTAATTGTTTCCAAATTCCAATACCATCAGCAGCATAACGTTCAGGTTTTTGTCAATTTCCAGCATTCCCTTCCCATTATGAATTTCATACTGAACGAGGGAATTCTCAAATCCAATTGAACAATTCAGTACATGAGCATAAGCTTTTCATTTTTTGGTTGATGAAATCTAAAATCCAGCAACAAAATTAATTAAAACAAACTAGCAGAAAAAAACCTATGCGGGGCGGGTGGACACTGGTGTGGGTGTGGGGCGGGTGGACGCGGGTGCAAAATGCGGGACGGGTTGAAATCTTCGCGGGTTTATGCGTGTTTGCCCCGCAACCGCACCACCCAGCACCGTGTGCCATTCCTAATGGTTCGAGTTTCTTTTTGTAAGACAATGGTGTAATGGGCATCCATATGGCAGATTAACCAAATTCTAGTGTCTTAATTAAATACTTAACGATAATTTGAAGGGCTCCACTCTACTTTAGTTCTTAGCTCCAAAGAAGTCAGAAATTAGCTATGAAGGACAACGAGACCATTGTATTCCAACGAGACCATTGTATTCCACTTAATTTGACAGATAATTTCATCAGCAACTTAGTTCCTAAGTCATGACGGAACAATAAAATCAGAAGTTAACTTGAATCCGAATAACAGTACATTCTAAGAGAACTTGCAATGCCTTGACTGAGAATAGAATTGAAGGGGTGAACGGGTACTGTTGATCACACTACCCCAAACATGTAAAATAGGCCGCAGTTTTGGTGATCCGCCATTGGAGAAGAAGTGCTTTCTTGATTAATTTATTTGTTCGTGAAATTCTTGTGTTGTAAAGGAGCTAAAGAAGGAATAGGTTTTGAATTTGAAGTATATAAACCTGTTGCGGTGTTGATATTGTCGTTACTAACCAATGCCGTAACTGCCATCAAACGAATTGTTCATTTAATATGCTAATGCAATAGTAAATAATTTATAATGCTTGCGTTAGAAGGTTGGGCATTTTAGGTTTGTTGTGATGTCCTGGTAAAAGCTTGATGCGGCTGGTTCGAATTCGACTAAAATGCTACTACTAGGATAAATATTATTGCTCGTCATATAGAAGTGTTACATCACTTTGTCTATGACCATATATATATATAGAGAGAGGGAGAGTCTTTTACTTATTCGTATTTTTCTAAGAATATGTTTTAAAGAAGAATTAAATTTGTATTTGCTCTATGATTATGATAAGACAAACTATGATAAAAAGGAAAGAACCTATGCTTATGTTTTGAAAGATCAAAAGTGGTTAACATGTAACAAATGAAAAGCTAAGGCAATGATCCATAACTTACTGGACTTTTGTTTCCATTAGGTAAATAGGTGCCTATAAAAGGAAAGATGTATCCTTATGATTTGCATTTCAATCAAATTGTTTAACAAAAGCGCATAACACCAAGCCAGGACACCAGATTCAACCTTCACAAAATCGTGCAGTTGACCTCAAAGAAAAGTTTACTACATATGACATTTTTACAACTTTTGAGCCAAACTGAGATGTACAGTGTTAACTTTACTAATAAGCTCCAAGAATTTATGTATAAATTACTTCAACCATTCTTTTTACTTTAACTACTCATGCAATCGCCTCGTAGAGGCATAGATTGCAAGAACATTTGAAACAACTCTTCAAACTCCGATTGCCTGGTGCACAGAAGGAACCGGCATCTGATGTTACAAGAGAAGCAGCTCTAGACCTAAACTGCTGAAAAGACAACACAGTAAAGTTTGTACACGTGCATGTGTTGGTAAATATGAAGTTTATGAACATAACAACACGCTGATGAAAGCTATTACACTAACTATTCCACACATAGAATACAAGTTTAAGAATGAAAAGCACCGCTCATATCACACAACAGTTCACTTCCTAAAGCCAACAACCAGAGCAACATCTTCACACCCGTCAACACAGAGTCCCAAAGGCCCAGATAATACACAACATTTCGTGCAAGTTGAATGACCACATATCACACCTCCAAGAACCACTAATCTATTCAATCCAGTTTCATACTATCTGTTAATCACAAGTTTTGATCTGTTGGTCGGGCTGTTGTAAAGCCACCACCGCTACTCCCGCCGGTTCGATTAGGTTCTCCCACTCTTGATGCCAAAGCAAGAACTTCAGGCGACATCTCCCAGCTTCCACTTTTCCTTCCCCAACTGGATCCTCTAGGATGTATTCCTGCACGATCAGCCTCATCTACCGTAGTTCTTATCTCGGGAGACATCTGGCCTAACACACCATCTTTAACGTTCAGGATATTGTTGTCGCTAAATTGTCCTTCATTATCCACTCCTCCCCCTACTTCACTCCAAACCGCTTTCCTGCCCATTTCTATGTCCTCCACAGCCTTTCCCATGTTTGGACTCACAAAACCCCCACCTGCAGATCGACTTGGCATCTTGGGTTCCCTGGGCACCTTTGCACGGAAATTGTTCTTGGATGGAGGAATCACAGTACAGAATATCTCCTTGAAATTCTGAATCACTCCTTTGTTGTAGGGGTTGGCACGCCAATCATACCGGTATCTAAAATTCTCATAAGTAGTCTGCAGTACCCAGAAAATAGATGTCACCCACAGTACACATCAAAATCCAGACCACCTTAGCTAAACAAAGGGAAGCATACTATTAGAATCCAAGATCATACCTGATTAGTACTTATGAGGTATAGATGAAAAGCTGTAAGACCTCCAACAAACCACACTGATATAAAAGTGTATACTATCAGAACAATGGAGGCAGGTGTTTTGATCATTGCTTTCCATATGGTTGTGTCTTCTAGAACCATGATTCTCTTGATGTAGACCCAGCAGAAACCAAAAACATATATGCAAAGAAGTGTTGTAGAGAAGACAAACATGAAGAAAAAACGGTAGTTTCGCTGCAATAAAAGATACAAAAGTTTCAAAAGTCTGTGCAATGTAAAGCACGAATGCAAGACAGTAACCGTAGGTGAACCATTTCTAAAGAAGCATTAGTTACAGAAAACTATCAGTGCAAGCAAATGAATAAAGATATTTCCAGAAATCTAATGTGGACGTTGAAGTTGACTGGTAAATTGACCAGCTTGACCTCATACCTTCATAAATCTGAGAGTCAAGACCGTTATAAGATGAGAACTTAAAATTGCGGATATGTTTACTAAATCCTCTTAACTTATTTCCACCACAGAGATCTAGGGCGCTAAATATTATCCTAAACTAGAAACATACAAAATTATAATTGTCTGCATGGTGGCCATTTGAACTAAAAGGTCAGTTACAAAATCATTGAACTTCCTCCTGCTAACAACAGCATTAATGGTTAAAAGATTCTGATTCAAACATTAGTATTAACCATTTAACATCATTATATACTTGAGCTAAATCTCAAGATGTTTTGAGGATCTAATGCTTCAGATCCACATCATTTCTTCATGAAGTCTACAATTTACAAGTTATCTTTGGACACTGTACACAGTTTACATGTTTTCTCAAATTGGCATTAGAGTGAATAGGTTTTAAAACTAGAAAAGAAGAAAGAATCAGTTTTTCATATTTTTAGGCGAAAGAATCAGTCTTTCATTAATATCTTTTTTTGAGGTTTCCCAGCAGAACGAAGAGTGCGATTATGAAAAAATAGATCTGATACCACTACATAGCAGAATATATGCAATAGTTCATCAGATATATCAAGCAGCGAAAAGTTAACTGAACAGAGAGAGCATATCAGTTACTAGTGCGGTACTACCAACTAAAAAATGTTAAGCTAAAAAAAAATTACCAGCCCAATGCATTGCCCTACCCAAGGGCAGTGATGGTCAAATCTTTCAACGCAGTTATTGCAGATTGAGCAGTGAGAACAACGGGGAGGTCTATAGAGCATGCAGGTGTCACAGTATTTGATCTTCACGGTAATGCCATTAACCTCAACTTCTTTAATGCGGGGCAAACGTAATTGAGGAGTTTGTCCACCACCTTCCGCAGTACCATCATAACCTTCTGGTTCTGGAGGGTGTGCATTACGAGGAATTATTCCTGGATCCCTTCCAGATGTGAGAAGGAGTAGAACTAAAACCTGTAAGATTTAAATGTGAAACTCTTAGCAGTGCAAATTGGAAGAAACCTTCCACAAGTTATGCAATAAGGTTGTCAATCCTTTCCATTGTGAGGACAGCCACTTAACAGTATTGGCAGTTTGGCAAAACCAAGCCAAACTTACATCCTTGAGATGCAGTGCCAAGTTAATATCAGATCAATTAAGATCATTGATTTTCTAATACTTGGAATTTTGCAACGGTAGCATCAGATCATTAATTATCTAATGCTTGGTATTTTGTTTCCAGCAATGGTAAGATAAAATAAAGACAGCTTTATACAGCTATTGTGTTCTCTGGAATTGCAATCATAAACTGCTAAGCTTGTTTCTGTAAAATGTTGGTAATGAGGATGTTACTATCAATGAAGACTAGGGAGAGGACTTACATAGAATGTGAACACAACGACTACAACCATAATCAATATCCCCAGGTGATTTGAAAAATCATCCATCAGCTTTCTAGCAACAAAGACACAGAAAACTGAGACAGGGGCCACTATGAGAAACATGGTCAGTGCTAGTGATCTTGCGTCTGGCCCAAATATGAACCTTCCTTGAAAGAAAAATATCTGCTCAGAGAGAAGAACATTAAAAAGTCAGAAACTAAGAAAAGGAAGTGGCATATATTCTGTAACGTGAAACTCTTCTCACGGAAAATGCTTCTTTTTTCTTTTTTTAAGGAGTGAATTAAAGAGATAACTCATCCCTTTTTCACAGGAAGTTCATGTAAAGCACATATCACTTTTCAGTAAGTCAAGAAATGGTTTTTCAACACATGAACAGCTGGAAAAGATGTCGGAGGAAAGAAAAGATTTTCAGTTTTAGATGAACATATGATAAGGACTAAGACTACCGAAGACGTTTGTCCTAGAATTGAGACTAAAAATAATCAAGTAAAACACTAAAACCTCATTCCGAGAAGTAGAATTGCACAAGCCAAAATACTGGCAATGTTACTAAAGTAAATGTGATAACATAACCTAGAATGAGCACATCTGGTGTACTCCTCCTACACAGTTGTTTGGCGCTTCCACGGACAGTAAAAACTTATAAGCACCATTAACTAGGATGCAGAATCTTCAGGGATTTCACCTTATGACATAAAAGCAGATACCTCGTATTCTCACATTTTTTGAGGAAGCTATATTTCTAATTCTTGGGTCTTTTTTAACCCATGCTGATGTTTAAAAGTTTGTTATGCAATATCAAGTATGATCAGCAGACTCAAGTATAGTTCATAGTAGTTCTAATAATGACAATAAGCTAGCGGAAAACAGGTAAAGATTGAAGCTTTAACATCTTATAAAAACGGAAAAAAGATTGAAGCTTTAACAGGTAGTACGGCAATAAAAAATAATGCCAGAGCTAAACCCTAAGAGTAAAAGTGTAAGGATATACTAACATTGCTTCCTTTCCATGCCTGGTAAATCCGTAAATCATCCGACCCATTCATGGATCCAGATAATGGATCGGATCGTTTCGGAGGAGGTACCACATACATCTCCCAGCTTCCTCTCTATTATAGCCCAATGAATCTCAAATCCGGATCTCTAGCAGAAAATCAAGTACAAACGCTCCGGCAGCAGATAATGTTAATTACAGAAAAACAAATAAACACTTAAATGGGCGAACTGAGAGCTATCATTATGAGAGTGTGAGACTTTCCGGCGATAAAAAATTTGCCGGCAACAAAGTCAGGTTTCCGGTGAAGAGAGGAGTAAAGTTTTGGGTTAAATGGGCCGACAAGGCATGAGGGTAAAGAGAGTGAAAAAGGGAGAAAAAGGGTTTGGTTTGTATGAGTGTGTTGTGGGGGCCCATTTCTAACTTTACAGGATGGTCAAACTGACGTGGCGAATTACTGTTGGGTAAGCTTGTGAAAGGTGGACCCGTTGAACTTTTGTTGTGGACCGCTTGGCTTTTGTAAACGACGTTTCATTGCAACACTTGGATGCCCTGGCACTCGTTTTTTGGTCCCTAAATCTTTGCTCGGGATAACAATAGGGGAGAAAAATTAAGGGAAATTACCAGCTATGTTCATTTATAAGTAGTTCATTATAAAAATTGGCCAATTAATAAAATATTATTAATATTAGTCAAATTAGCCAATTAGCTATTTGAAGCAACAAAATATCAAATTTTTGCTTTGTTTTGAGTGGGTGTTATTAGAATATATTGGGCACAACTTAAGGAGCTTGAATCTCAATTTTGTGATGATTTGGTGAAGTTTTGAGGCGGTTTGAATTGAAAATTCGACGTAAAAACTGAAAATGAAAAAAAAATTATATGTGTATCACATTGTGTATTATTTGTGTATCACATATGTATCATATTTGTATCAATTGTGTATCACATGTATATCCATGTATACCTGTGTGTGAGATATATGCGTGATACATGTGTCGCAGAAGACTTTTTTGAACTCGATTTAATTACGAATTTTGATACAAAAACCAGTCCAAATCACCTTCAATCTTCCTCAAATTTTGTATATTGACTTAACTATATATTTTCAATGAATTTCAACTATACCCATTGAAAAAATTCCTTTTTTGCTTAGATTTTTGGAATATTGTATATATTTTTGTATTTCATCACCTTATTTGCTACCCCGTCCATGAAATTTCCTTTCCGTCTTGTATCTAATGTTGCTAATCACGCTTAAAAATATGGAAGGTGATTTTTACACGTGATTCTTTGAAAGAAAGAACCTTATTATTTGGTGTTTCAATTTTTGTTGGCTAGTTTTGGTAAGTTTATGACTAATGGCTAGAGGTTGGTAAGTTGAGATTTATTTGGGACATTTTTGTAAGTTTTCCCAAAAATTAAATATGAGCGAATTGCTTTATATCTTCCACTTTTAAGTAAGGCATGTATTGTGGGTCAGGCCCAGCCCGGGACCGGCCCGGGACTACGGGCCGGTCTCTAATGCTGCAAAAGCCCACAGCAGGTCGGTCTCAACCAAAAAGCCCGCGAGCCCGGGACTGTTTAGCCCGTGACCGGCAGGCGGGCCTGGGCCGGTTCAACCGGGCCTCACGGGCCCAAAGGTAATATTTCAAAAAAAAAAATTTAAAAAAAGACCAACGGCTAGAAATTAAAAAAATAGCCGTTGGCCCTTAATTTCAGTCGTTGAGAAGTTTAAAAAATAGCCATTTGGCCCCCAAACTTTGTTTTAGCCCCAAACTTTTTATAATTATACTTTTTTCCTATTCTAAACTATAAATACCCCCTCATTCTTGCATTTTTACTCACAAATTCATCAATCTCTCTCTAATTTTCTTCTATAATTGCTTACTTTATTATTGCAATTTCGTAAAAAATTGTAAAGTTGGTGAATTGAAGTATTCAAGTCTTCAAGTCTTTAACGATATTCAATTTTCAAGAAGTTGTTCGTCAATTCATAAACTCGTTCCAACTCTTAAGTTTTAATAATATAGTTTTGTTTGTTTTAGTTTGTATAATTATAATTAATATGGTCTTTTCTTTGAAAAAAATATTTGGTGGTAAGGGAAAATCTAAAATTGGTGAATCTAGTCGCCAAGCTACTACCCCTCCCCCGGCTCCCCGACCCAAACCTGTTACCCGTCCTCCTGCACCTATTATTCTTGATAGTGATAACCCTTGTTTTCAATTTAGCGATAGTCAATTTTGCCATGATGTTGCACCAGGTGAACAATTAAATGCTGAATATATGAATGCTCTTTATCCTAATGAAACTATTGATGAAAATGATGAGGAAAATGAAGATTTAGATGAAACACAACCGGATTTAGATGATACACCTACTAGTCCTGTTGTTAACCCAACTGATAATAATCCAAATGATGCCCCGCCTGACCCTCCTGTAGTAACCCCTACTTTTAATAGACAACGTTCTAGACGCCCCGAAACATCACTTGTTTGGAACTTTTTTACTCAACTAAGAGAACAAAATAAGGCTAAGTGTAATACTTGTGGGGGTTTGTTGGCTCATAAATTTACTGGAGACTGTAACGGTACGGGTAGTTTGACTAGACACATAAAGACACACCCTAGAGATAAAGCTAGATATCTTCAAATGAGAGTGCAGCCAGAGGGGAGAAGTAATGAGGTTAACCCTAATACCGGGTCAAATCTAGTTCAACCAGGAATTAACACTGTGACCGGTGGCATTTTATATTACGATCCAAATAAAGACCGTGAAGAATTAGCAAAAATGGTTACTGTTATGTGCTTACCCTATAGTTTTCCTTCTAACCCTCACTTTGTGCATTATATTAGAAAAGATTTTAATCCTACTTATAAAGGATGGCCTCGCGCAACCGTAAAGAGCGATATTTATAAATATAAACATGAATATGAATAATATTTGCGGTATTTATTTACTCATATAGATTGTCGGATTGCTATTACCACTGATATTGGTAGAAGTGGTAATGACTGTGATTATCTTACTGTAACTACTCATTGGATTGATGAAGAATGGAAAATGCAAAAATGCATTATTGCTTATAGAATAATTAATTCACGTCACACAGGTAAGTTTTGCTAACACAGTTGCAGATATTTGTAGATATTTTTGCATTCGACATAAAATAATGTCAATTTCTATGGATAATGCTTCTAGTAACACTAATGTTATATGCTTACTTACAACTACACTAAATCCTGCATTCATTTAGTAATTATTTTCATGTTAGATGTATTTGTCATATTTACCATTTAATCGTCGGTGATGGTATGAGAATTTTAAATTTAGAAATTGAAAAGGTTAAAATGGCTCTTAATTGGCTTTTTTATTCAAACCGTAGAAGTAGACTTAGAGAGTATTTTAAAAAATGTGATGAATTTGGCCTTAGAGAAAGAAAGGTTCCTAAAGCTTGTCCGACTAGATGGAATTATATGTACGAAAGTTTAGTTGTTGCATATGAATATAGAAACCCAATTAATGCAACGTTTAATGCTCGTGTTGGTGGTGAGGATGATGATGAAATCCTTACAAATCAAGATTGGAATAATGTTAAAATTCTTATAGATTTTTTAGAACAATTTCATCAAGCTACAAATGAATTGTCTGGGCAATATTATCCTACTATTTCAAACTGTTTAGTTTATATTGCAGCACTATGTGATTTGTTTGTTGAATTTTCAGAGGGTGGGGAAATTTATCAACTTGCTATAAATGCAATGAAAGAAAAGTTTAAAAAATATTTTTTCCCTATTCTTCCTATTTATGGTGCTGCTGCCATGTTAAATCCTACCATGAAATTAGGAGGTTCTCACTTTTGGTATTCAAATATTTATAAGGCTTTAGATCTTTTTGATGAGGAATTTGCTACACTTGCAGATGCAAAAGCCTCAATTAAAATAAATGCTCAAACAATTTATAATGCTTATCAACTTGCCTTAGATCATGCTAGACCAAATGTTCCAACTCCTACTTCGTCTAGTTCACAATCATCTAAAAGAACTGCGGGCCTAAAAACACTTAGTTCTTGGACGGAGTTCAGGGGTTCTCAAGGTGATAATATTGATGATACTTCATATCTAAATGAGCTTCAAGTTTATTTGTCGCAGGGCCTTGAAAAGGAGAATCCAGACGGCACCTTTGATCTTTTGGAATGGTGGAAGGCCGGAGAAAAATATTTTCCGGTTCTTGCAAGGATGGCTCGAGATATTTTATGTATTCAAGCTTCAACAGTGGCATCAGAGAGCGCTTTCAGTCAAGCGAGACTTCAAATAGGTGATCATAGAGCGTCTATGAGGGAGAGCTTGGAAAAATCAGTACTCTTCAGAGATTGGATCCGTTCGGAAAGAAGAAATTTTGGACTTGCTGAATCACAACCGGAGATAGACGAAGCTTATGAAGAAATGATAGCGGAACTTGCGGAGGATGCTGCTTCGCCCGGAAGCGGTGAGTGACAAGCTCTTTCCGCCACCACCAACGGAATTCCCTCCGAACCTTGAAGGATTTATGAAATTTGTTAGAGATACTATGTAGATTATGTGTAACTTGTACTTTGGCACATCTTCTTTGTTTTTTTTTCCTTTTAGTTGTAGGTATTAGCACCTTGTTGTGCTCATTTCCATCGAGGGGAGGAAGACTAAGAAAGATATTGCCATTTTTGTTAATGTCTGTAATAATAAAAATTATAAGACATTCCATTGAATATCTCTTTGCAAACTTTTTTTTGTGTTTAAAATTGACTCTTTAGAAGATTTAACTTACAATTATATATAAGCTATAAATATATTACAATAAATTAATATAAGGCAATAATATATACATAACATACTATATATACTACATAATATATATATATATATATAATACACACACACAACATCTAACACATATTAAGCTATATATATATATGTTAATGTATTATAGATATAGATATAGTATATATAATATATATTAATGCAATATATATACATACTAATATAATGTGGTAGATTGTGGTGTGGTGCGCGTGTATATATATATATATATATATATATTATAATATAGTATATATATATAGTTTACAAGAAATTGCCTTAGACAAAAAAAATTCAAAAAAAAATAACCCGGAACGAAAAAGCTCATTAGGCCCGTTTAGCCCGTGGGCCCGGCACATTTAGCCCGTGACCATGTGGTCTTAGGCCCACAGTGGGCCGGTTCCACACATTAGGACCGTTTGGCCCGAGATCGCCAAAGACCAAACAGTCCCGGGCTCGCCCCATAATACACCCTTACTTTTAAGTGAGTTCATCAATAGGAGAAAATGGAGAAATTTTTATGACTTATGAGATATGAAATCTACATTTAAATTACGGAGATTAGATTCTTCACCTTGATGCTTATAAGATGTCGACTAGGCTTTTAATTATTGAGTCTATTGACTAATCTTTAAAGATAAACTGTATTAGTTACCTTAATGTTTTTAAATTAAAATTTGAATATTCAAAAATTATATAAAAATATTGTATATGAAATTCTTCTCATGTCAATATGATGAAAAAATACATCTTAAATTATTGGTTACAATTCACATAGTTTAAATATCACAAAACTAAAAGTGCCACATAAATTAAATATTATTTCAGACGAAAGATAATAAAGAACGTACCCTTTTTTTTTTTTCAATTTAAACTCCAATTTTTCGTGTGGAAAGAATCAGAAATTAAAGAGAATCAACGTCGTTTAAATCGTTAACTTAAAATAACATACTGAAGTACAGCATCATCTGGTTCTATGGTGTAGTGGTTAGCACTCTGGACTTTGAATCCAGCGACCTGGGTTCGACTCCCGGTAGGACCTTTCCTTTTTTGCTTTTTCGCTTTTCCATTTACTACCTTTGTTGATCATATTTTAGCAGCGGGTGCCGGGTGGTATGTAACGGATTGTTTGGTTTGGTACTAGTTTATCTTGGGATCATCTTTCCACATTCAGTATGGAAAAGATAATACCAAAGATTTTGGTATAAAATTTATGATAGTATTAGCTAATACCATTAACCAAACAGTGAATGAATAGTCCCAAATTTTTTAGCAGAATAATATCTTTAATCAGACAACTGACCCCGAAGGATCATTCTTGAATCCTTAATCAACGTAGATTATCGGGAACCACGGTTTTATTTATATTGGTTAATGCAACATCAATCTTCCAACAAACATGATCTTATTTATTTGGTTAGTAGTTGAACAAGATTTCACATGACAAAGAGAAACAAACCTAGTTATAATAATGATAAATGTCATCCAATGTTATGTTATTGTCCAACCCATCTCCAACTAATGATATTGTGCAGCAAAATAGCCTCCTATCAGGATATAAGGAATGTAGATCTTCACAGCAAAGAATCATATAATTAAGCTGCCTAAGTTCTTCACACTATACTACTAAAACTTTTAGCTTCTGCAGATGAGTGATAATGTATTTGGCGGCATCCACTGCTTTTGAGAACAAACACATATATAGTTCAGCAAAGGAGATGCATGCAAGTTTGACATTTGAGTGTAGAAGAAGCAGTCAAAGACGATATATATATATATATATATATATATATATATATATATAAGCTGCCTGAAATCCTAGATGTGACCAAAGCCTCAAGTTTCATGACATTTGGATGGTCCAATCTATGCAAAATAAAAATCTATTTTGCCATAAAGCGACACTCTCCGGATCCATATTCATTGCTTTAATTGGAAATTCGTAATTTTATTTACAGATTACCTTGAACCAAGCTGACACCAATAAAAAAATATATATATATAACCAAGCAAATAGGTTTAGATTGGCAAGATAATATCTGAGTTACAAGGTGTGAAAATCGTATAGAGGAAAAAAAAAGGATTGTCTTCATTAATTTTTGTGATTTGGGGCATGTAGTCTTTTTTCTTTTCTTTTTTGGATATGTTATGAGGCATCGTATTTAGCTCCTGTTTTAGCATACAAAATTGGTGATCCTTGTCTTTATTTCTGCGGTGGGAGAAAGGCCACAATTTGGCTTCTAAGTTGCACCAAGAGAGTTGACCTAGTGATCAATGAAGTCGATACAAACTTTGGAGACCAGCATAGATATAAAGACATATAGTAGGTGCTTTCTCTCCACCTGCCTAAGACTTGGTGGGCAAATTACTCGGTACTAGGAAGTAGTTGATGGAATAGTTAATTGGTGGGCAAATTACTCGGTACTAAGAAGTAGCAGATACCTGATGGAATAGTCGAGGTGCGCATAAACTGATCCAGATAAAAAATGAAAAAATTGGACTTCTAAGTTTAATGAGAATAGCAGCTGGTTTGCATCTGTGGGTTCCAATTTACATTTCTGGTTTTTTTCTTCCTTTTGAGTTAAAGTTTCATTATTCTAATGCATCATTTTGTCGTTTGACATTAAAAATGCCCAGCTCCGCTGATGACGCGCCTCAACTTATATTAATCCTTTACCTTTTCATTAAAAAGAAGATTTAGGAGAACTCATTGGAGTAATAGTCTAGTAATCCGCATATTTCTAGAATCACCACCGGTCTAAACCAAAATAATGAAAGAAGATAGAGAACTGGGACAATTTCTATATTGGTGGCTTGCTTAGATCTTCCTTTATACGCAAGATGACCATGAAAAGTGTGTGATAGCTGAGAACCTTGGTTGACTTGGTTCATTTGCTTGGAGGCAGGGGCGGATTTAGGGGCCGGAAGAGTGTTCACCCTAAATAATACACTCCCTATGTGAGGAAAAATTTGTTTTTTACCTCTATATATTATATTTTGAATCCACTTGACACAACCCAAAAGCATAGCTTTAGCGGTCAGGAGTTCAAAACCTTTGTAAGATCATTGGTTCTATTGCCACTATTTGCAACCTTTTTAACTTTTCCTTTTTTTGAACCTCCTTAGCGGTAATTCTGTCTCCGCGGTTTTGAGTCATCCTTTCCTAGGTGATAGTTCTGAGCTCGTGAAATTATTATATCAAAGCATAACAAAACGACCATTACATACTCGCATGCATTTCCATACTAAAGTCTCACATAAGGACAGCACCTAACGAAGAGCCACTATATATGGTGATCTGAAGTTACTTCACATGAAACAAAATAGTTATGAAGTAGTAACATTTATGGTAATCTCATAATGCATCAACAAAAAACTCTGAGGTTCTCTGCAAGGAAACTAACGTGTTATTACCACCTTGATCTATAATCAAAATCATCTTCCACATTCGGTTTCCTTTTGTCTCTCCAGGTCTCGCCCCACTTCTTGGCCTCAACAACAGCTCGTTCCCGTTCTTGATCCTTGCTCGAAGCTCTCATTTCCTTTACAGCGATTCCAGCACGATTAAAATCAACAGGGCTTACATTTCCTTGTTCTTCTCCCTGGAATATCCTCCCATCTCTCTGAGATCCAATCTGATTCGATTGAGCTGAAGGTGAATCATGCTTTTGGGATGCAAAGTAGCTCAAAGCAAGCACAATGTCTTTCGTGTGAGGTCGAGCATGGGGATCATCCTGAACACACATTAGTGCCAGTTCTACTGCCCTCCGGAAAACAGATTGTGGAAACTTGCCTCTTAACTTTGGATCTGCTAATTGCACATAATTCTTGCAGTCTTTCAACATAGGACGTGCCTGTCAAGAGGCAAACAAAGCTCACTATTAGCAGGGAAAAAAGGAAGCGCACAAACATGAAGTGCGGAAACAGGAGACTAGTGTTATCAAGCTCAACACTTTTCACTCAGAAAAACAAACGAAACGACTTAGCTTATGATATATTTCATGACAAATGGTCAGAACTGTGAAAAGATGGTAATTCAAATTATTAGAGAGCAGACGTTTCACGAAATACCTTTGACATCATGATAAAATTATTGAACACTCAGATAAAAACTTTTGCTTCAAAGCTAACTTACTAGAAGACAGAATCAAGAAGTGACACAAACATCTTTAAGTAGTGAAACAAAAACTTGCTACAGGAATTAATTTTCAAAATTGGATTCTGTTCCAGCTTGCTAATTATTGAATGAACTGTCATCAGTGAGCGAAGTTAATTACCCAGTCCACAAGCATTTCTTTTCCATGTTCGCGAGTGTCATCCATTGCTCTACATCCAGTAATTAGCTCCAACAAGAGCACACCAAAACTATAGATGTCTGACTTCATAGTCAGCTTTCCAGTTCCCGCATACTCAGGTGCACAATATCCATGAGTGCCCATAACCCGAGTTGAAACATGCGTATTGTCTGCACCTGGTCCAAACTTTGCAAGACCAAAGTCAGAGAGTTTAGGGTGGAAACCCTCACTTAATAATATGTTTGCTGACTTAAGGTCCCTGTAGATAACAGGACGATCAGCTTGCCTGTGAAGGTAATCCAGCCCTTTGGCGGCACCAGATGCTATTATCATCCTGGTATCCCAATCCAATGGCTCCATGTCAGGCGTCATATCTGCACATTACCTCTAAATCATCACAATTCAAACTTTAACGGCCGAGTGCACATATTAATTGCATCCTCTGATGCCTGTTCAATTGAACAATTTTCTACAGAAAAGAGAAGTTCAAATCAAGTAAGGTAATGCTAGAAAATTTCACACCAAAGCTAATACTCACATAGTAACAACTTGGGAAGACATATTGGAGGCAACCACTTATAGGTTCAGAAAATTTAATGCACAGTTAATACAGTTAGGAGTTAAAGATGGGCAGTTGATCATTTTCACGGGGAGAACTGAGAAACAAGATATCCATCAAATTTGGCAATGCAGCTCTTCTGCTAAACAAGACAAGCTTAGTTGTTATAAACAAAGGCAGAAGTCTGTGTCGTGCTGAAGCAACCACCGGATCTATTTTGGAATGCGTATGTCAGACAGAAGCAGTGAAGACTTCCTCAGTGAAGAAAATGAAAATAGAAGTGGATGAGTATTTAAAGTGTGATAATAAGAACTTCATATCTTCAAGGATCCTGAAAATGGACTTGTTACACCATCAATGGTCACCCAAAAGTTTTATAGCAAGTAAGGAATGAATCTACAGCTTCGAAGCAGACCAAGACAGGAATGAATGGTATTACTGAAGCATAACAGATGGCCGCAGGTAGACAAATAAGAATCTATTAATTTTTATTTCTTTTGTTGCCAATCCAAATTTCATAACATGTGTAAGTGAGAACTGCCTATCAGCTGAAACTATGTTAACGTTGAAGCATTACCATGGAGATGATATTCCAGAGATCTTAGAGGCATGAATTCATAGATAAGAATGCGCTGGTTTCCTTCAATGCAGTAACCAATTAGATTAACCAGGTTAGGGTGACGCAGCAGTGAAAGCATGTGAACCTCCACAAAGAACTCCTTATCCCCTTGAAGACCTGAATGATTTAGCTTCTTAACAGCCACAACCTGAATGGATCATTCCAGGACCAAAAAGTATGATGAATATGAAATGAACAAGACACGCTTGCTTTAACGTGAAACTGGATAAAGATTTAATGTAGTGAAAATCACCTGACCACTTTCAAGTTGCCCTTTGAATACTGGCCCAAAGCCACCTTCCCCAATAATTGATTCTCGCCTGAAATTGTTCGTTGCTGCTGCAAGTTCCCTGTAAGAGAAAGTTGGAAGGTTGCTTTCCGAAGGAGAACTATCTTTTGATATTGGTACTTGTTGTCTGGGCTCCAAGAGTGTGCTATATTTGACTGCATTATCTGGCAGGTGCATATAAAACAACAAAGAAAGAACAGATGAATTATTACACCAGGAGATTCATGACTATTCAAACTTCTAAAAGCACAACTTAATATCCTTATAACTATAATATGGGATTTTACACCAACTTACCGGCCTCAACAAATGAAGTGCAAATTAACAAAAAGACAACTTCAGAACCATGGAATTTATCAATAAACAGTTAGTCTATGTCAAGCATGGGAAGCTTTGTGAGAATATCACTGTAGCTAATCAATTTACTAAAAGTTTAGAACAACATAAACAAGATGGAATCTACATTAACTGTGGAAGATCAGGTTAATTCATCCAAACTTGTTATAATCTCATATTTGGTGTCAAAGAGAGCACATGCCTCGGTGTCCTTACACAGCTTAAGGATTCGCAATTACATTACAGGGTTATCCATCCTCTGCATCATAAACCTCTTTAAGCAATTAGTATAACTTGGTATTGAAAAGTCTTGACAAGATAAAAAGTGTGATTAACAGTTTAACGTTTAGGCTTCAAGATCCTAATTACATTCATAGTATTCCACTTATCTCTAGACAAAAGTAAACATCTGTTCATAGTCCCAACAAGGCAATTTAGGAAGTGAAATCACAAACAACAATTTGTCCTTTTATGTTACCTTCAAAAAAGATTCAATAGTTTGTCCTTTGGAGTAGTAGTATTTTGTGTACAGTTAAACACCCTCATATTAAAGGGGACACAACTAGTACAGACTATTTCCTACCAAATTTAAAATACTAATTAATAATACTATATTAAACTCGACCAGGTATATTAAAACGAGATAGAGAAGCTAACTGCAATCAGGCTGGAAGATTTGGGTGAGAATCATTCAAATGTATTTTTGCATGGTGAGTCATTGGAGGTGCAAGAACTAATTAACTTAGACATCTAAGTTGATCGTAGATAAAAGTATAATAACATTTTATTTTCCAAGTAGAAGCTATGAAAATTCCTGAGCCGAGGTTCTATCGGAACAGTTTGCCTTCTTAAAGTCTTAAAGGCAAAGGTAAGACCTACGTACACTCTACCCTTTCCATACCTCACTTGTGGGATTATAGTGGATATGTTGCTATTGTTGCTCTTAAGCTATGAAAATAGAATGAAAGCGGAGCTAATTAATATAACGTTACAGATTTAAAAGTAACAAGATTAAATCGACGAAATAGACGAACGGGGTAAGGAAACGAAGTGAAACAAACCAAGATCAGACTTGATGGGCGTAGTAGGGGCGGCTTCAATAGGAACGTAGCTATTGTTGAGCTTGGTTTTCAAGTTGATCCCCTTTTTTTTGCTACGAAAACATGGGCAATACCCCATTATATTCTTCTTTTAGATTCCTCTATTTAATGATCAGATTATCAAACAACTCTCAAAGTTCTCTGCATGCATTTGGCCGGCGTCTTCGTTTTTCTTTTCTAGGTTTACCAATTACTATACGCACATCCAGATATTTCAAATACGTGGTTTGGATTTGGATGGCAAAGTGATCATGACCGATCCACTCGTTTAAATTTAACGAGCTAGAGTCAAGATGAGTTTTGTATTAGAAATCACAAGCTAACTATTTTGGATAAGGTGGACGACTTATACGTTTATCAAAATTGATAATTAGAATAACATTAGAACTCGACTTAGGAGAATGGACTGGGCCAGTGTGCTCTTATATTAGGATCAGTGACACGAATGATCTTGGTCTTGAATTTTTTTACCTTTGGTATACATATGGATAAAATTTCAAGTTTAACAAGGGGTAAAACTTTTGATTTTTATTGAGATTTTTACATTCTTATACACTATATGAAACTATATTGCCCTCCCTACTCAAGTTTTACTATAATTACATTTTGTATATCCAATTACGATTTAAGTACATTTTAAGGGAATTAATGATAATAATTAGTGTCCTAAAATCACTATATATCTTCCACTCTACCCCCCCCCCCCCCCATGTTTCTCTCTCCACCTCCCCTCCCCCCAACGTATCTTGCACAAGAGAGCAGCAATTCCACCATTGACAACCATTAAAAAATTTTGAAGCTTTGAATTCGAATTTGAGTTTTCAAAAAATATTATTTGTTTGAATTGGGTGTTGTTGCAAAGAATTGGGAATTCTCTCTACGTCACTCTCTATCTCTCAATCCTAATTTCAGTAATGTAAAGCAAAGAAAAAGAGAGCAACAATTCCACCATTGACAGCCATTAAAAAGGTTTGAAGCTTTGAATTCGAATTTAGTTTTTCAAAAACCATTATTTGTTTGGATTGGGTGTTGTTGCAAACAATTGAGAATATGATTTGGAGTTTATATCTCAATTTTGAGGGTGTTTTGGTGAAGATTAGACTTGACATTGGCTGAATATTTCAGATTGAAACTCGTCGAAGAAGAAGAATTGTATTATGTTTATATATACATACAATTCTTCAAATATATATATATATATATATATATATTGTATGAAAGTTGAACAATATTGTATAAAATTTATAGTTAAGTTGTATGTTATTGTAGTTGTATTTAACCGGGTAGAAATAATGTATGAAAATTGTAGATAAGTTGTATAAAATCTCATCCATATTTGAAATATTATTTCCTCTTGAGAAGAAGCCACGTTTATGAGATTTAACACCTCTCTTTGTAGAAGAAGAAAAATCACCTTTGAATCTGTAAAATTTGCCATTATTTTCATTTTTTGCACCACAACAATATGAAACTTTGAAATGCTAAAGCCCCAGAAGAATAACACATAAAAATGAAACTCAACTGTTTCTTGCTAAAAACCCAAGTCATGGCTCATGGGAATTTTCAAGAAAAGATCTATATTTTCCCTGACCTATATTTTTCCATCTTTTCTAAACCTATAAATTGGTCAGTATTTGACAACCATGGAACGTTATGCATTTGACTTAATACGTCAGTCCAAACTTAATGCATAAATTTAGTCCCAAATGGCATGAAATTGGTTAGTATTAAACAGCGTGGTGCACATTCAATTGCATCGGGAGAGAAAAGGGGAGAGAAGAGAGAAAAAAGAAAAAAGGTGTAACTAAATCCCTTGATTGAAGACACAAATAATGGATTTGGGAGCCTTTTAAGGTGGATTGTATATATTTTGTAAATAAAACTTGTTTATGCCAGGTAATTAATTAAACATGGACATTTAGGGTAATAAAGTTTCTAATAGGGTATAGGAATGAAAAAAATCCCTTTTTTATTTTGAAGATTTGCCCATTGGTCAGCTTGTATGGGTCAAAATCTGTCTTTAGAATATTCAAACCAAGATAGTACTAAGGGAAGAGTTCCCAAGTCGTCGTTTGTTGAAATGGCCCAAGGAGCAGCAAAGTTTGTGATCGAAGAGTCAACGAGAGCCGTGGTAGAGGTGTCGACAAAGGTCGAGGCAGAGGTCGAGTACCGTTGACAGAGTTGTAATGGCTAGTTTTCAAGATAGGATATTAAAGAGAATATTCTAGTGGATATTCTCTGTACTTGTACTATTAGGGTTTCTTAGGAATATGTTCCCCATAAATAGAAAAAGAGAGAATGATAGGGAACATGTGATATTCATTTGTAAAAAACACACTTTGACTTAAAAAGAGAATCGGATCTCATTTGCTAAGATACAAACATCACCTTTTTACTAAGATTCTTGTCTATACTTTTTCACTAGATCCGAGAATAACTCAAATATTCAAGGGATTGTCTATCATTCATCATTGTCAGAAAGAACATCCACTTATTCCATCCTATCTTGGGTGAATCATTCCTTCTATTTACTTAAATGGCATTTATTGCTATTTATTATTATTGAATGCTACATTATTGCTTCTGATTTCTAGAACATTTATTGTATGCCACTGCCACTGTCCAACCAGATCTACGTAATATTTATTGCTTCTTTAAGAGTTCCATCTAGGGATACTATTACTAGCCAAGATTAATTCTTATTTATATAAATTTATTTATTTGAACCCAGATATATATATTTTTGGTCAAACAATTTGGCGCCGTCTGTAGGGATTTCTTAGTTAAATTTTTAGTTTCCTCTAGATCTGCAATTTACATAGGTCACTAACGTCAAAAAAGCCAATATCTCCTTTCTTTGTGATATACGAAACCCTACATGGCAGATAACCAAGGAGAAAGAACGAGAATAACAAGTGATTTCCCAACCAACCTCATAAATGTCATCAACGAAAGCTGCAAAACGATAGGCGAGGACATGACACCCAGTGCGTCGCCTAGGCGAGAAAGGTCACCGCCCCCACACTGCAGCATAGCAAAACCCAGTGGTCAATGGGCCTCCACGTCTACAGAGGAAGGGACGCCCCCAGCTGTGAAAAACTCCTCGGGGCATGGCTAACCGATACGCTAATAAGCTCATCAACAAACCCGCTCCGGGAACGACTGCAGAAATCGCAAGGACTTGCACGATACAACAAATAGACAAGTAGTGCAACCGTCCCCTCCCCCAACGAAAGGTATAACTCACAATGTTATTGATATTGCATGTGCAACGCCCTCGCTGCCATTCTAAAAAGGATGGAAGAAATGGAGAATGAAAACAAAGCACTCCGAGACCAGATGAAAGAGCACCAAAAGCGAGTTGACAAGATACCGGGCGCTCCTAAGCTACTACCGAAAAGGGACGCTGATAGGTTCATAGAGCAATTGTACAGCGATGATACAACCTCATATGCCATACCAAAGATCTTCAAAATGCCGCCCTACCTCAGGATATACGATGGTACGATTGATCCTGAAGATCATGTGACTCACTAAGTCACCACTATGAAAGGCAACCACCTCGCCAAGGAACAAATGTCATCCATTTTGCTGAAGAAGTTTGGCGAGACCCTCACGGGAGAGGCATTACATGGTATTTGCAGGTACCAGCACACTCCATAGGAACTTCGAGGAAATGTCCGATAAATTCGTAACCGCCCATGCCGGAGCCAAGAAGGCCGAGGCGAGAGTAAAAGACATATTTGCTACTAAGCAGTCCTTGGTAGAGGGACTAAGGGACTTCCTCACCCGTTTCAACAGAGTAAGGATGACACTGCCGAACGTATCCGAAGGGATGACAGTCACAACTTTTCAGAACGGGCTGAATAGAGAGGGTTCAAGAGCAACTAGAAAACTGTTGAGTCAATTGATGAAGTATCACTCAACCACTTGGGACGAAATCCATAATGATTACTGTGCCGATGTCCAAGCAGACGAGGACGACTCAACTGGACAACCTACTAACTAACCTCGATATAAGCCGAATCTAGAAAAGAACGAAGAGACAGCACCAGAAGAGATCATTCAATCTCGGGACCTGACAGGGAACGACACCAACCATATGTCAGGACGACCGCTGCGCCCTCCCTCCGCTATGAAGAAGGCTTGTCTAGGCCAAGGACGGGAACTCATTGGAACGAAAGAGGTATGCCTCCCTTATAATCTACTCACAATTTTTGTGTGTCACCTACAAAGATAGTCTACGCTCTGGAAAAACTCAAACGGAAAGTGAAATGGCCGTCGAAGATGAGATCAGACCCGAATACCAAAAAATTCGACACCTTGTGTGAGTTTGATAAGTACATTTTACCTGATTTTAATGTATAACTTTCTTCGTAAAAGTATAAAAAATTATCATGTTTCTTTCACAAATTTAACTTGATTGCGTAGGAAATGTTACGAGAAGAATTGGTGCAAAATAAATAAGACTTCAAGAAAAAAAGAAGCAAGTGACGATAAAATATGAACTGGCATAAAATCCATCTACCACATCAAAGTGGCCATAACCAGATCCAAAAATAAAAGAATCTTTCATAACAAAAACAAGCAGCTATAGCCAAACCAACTTATTATGGTTTGATTATAAAAGCATACTTCGGAAAATGATGAAGGGTAGAGAGAAGGAGAGCTCAGCAGACAACTGTCACGACCCCAACCCCGGTCGTGATGGCGCCCAACACAATGCTAGGCAAACCCGACCATTTCAACACTCTCAATCCTTTATATAGAGTTCATTACCAATTAACAGGGTTTAACTACCAAATTAACATGAATAGAAATCTGTAACAGAAGGTAAAATGTGCGAAAAACAAGGTAACATCACTACATAGCCCACCGATCCGGTGTCACGAGTTAAGAGCCTCTAATACAAGTCTGAGAAACAGCCTAAACAAAAGATAGTCTAAAATACTGAAAATAAAGAGGATAGAGGGAGAAATCGGGTCTGCGGGCGCCATGCAGCTACCTCGATGACTCCGGTGAGATCTGGACAGCAGAAATAGCTCGAACTACGCCTCAGGGATACCTGTATCTGCACACACGGTGCAGGGAGTAATGTGAGTACTCCGACCCAGTGAATAATAATAATAAATAATGACTGACGGAAAGAAATCTCGCAAAAACACTAAGCAGTTCTATATCAAAGCAGTAAGAACATTTAAACAACAACTAAATGAAGAAGTCAGGCAAAATCCTTTAAACCAGTACTCATCTCATATACTTTTCACAATCACTGAAATCATAATTATACCGCTGCGGCGTGCAGCCCGATCCGTGTTTCGCTGTGGCGTACAACCCGATCCATAATAAATATATTGCTGCGGCGTGCAGCCCGATCCAATAATA